CTCTCAGCCTCCCTGGGATTATGTGTGAGGACAGCGTGTGGGCACTGAGGACTCCAACCCAGAGTGGCTGGCTCTGTATGGCCAGACTAGGGAGCTGAGGCCATGGATGCTGACTTTTCTACCTTTCCCAGAGCTGGGACTGGGGCTCAGGAACATTAGTGGGAGGGGGTGTCCCTCTGCTGATCGGGCTGCCAGCTCTGTGCACCTCCCATAGCCCAGGGAGAGTGAGGCCCCTCTAATCAGATTTCAGCTACCCGCCAGCCCATATAATGACATTTGCTGGCTCTAGCCAGGGAACATTGCTAATTACGACAGGCAGGACGTGATGTCAGGTTCTGGGCCATTATCCGGGCTGCTCCTTCTGGGGATGTGGTCGTGGCCACCCCAAGTCCCTGGCTGCTCCCAGGAGGGTGCAGTTGGCTTTGAGGCCCACAGCAGGGTGCTGAGCAGGGCACTGTGCAGCATGGGTTCTGGGGTCCCAAGGAGGCAGACGAGGCTGAGAGGCCCCACGTTACCTGCCCTGGTTTCCCTGTGTGTACAATGGGGAAAGTGGAAGGGAAAGGAAAAGAAAGGAGATGTGCTAGGAAGGCCACATGCAATGAGGTCAACCAGACAAGACCATGATAGAGGGAGCTCTCATGGCTATGACTTCAGGAAGGTCACCTCACCTCTTGAGCCTCAGTTTCCTAGTTTCTAAAAGGGTAGGAAAAATTGTACCAAGTGGGGCATGGTGGCACACACCTATAGTCCTAGCTACTCAGGAGGCTGAGGCGAGAGGATTGCTTGAAACCCAGTAGTTCAAGACCAGTCTAAGCCATATAGCGATACCCTGTCTCTGTGAAAACATTTTTAAAAAGAAAAAAAATGTACCAACCTACAGAATTACTAAGAGGGTCATATGGAAGGTGCTACTCTGTGCAGCAATCTCACTCTGCACCCGCACATATACAGGATTAAATGGGTGATATGTTTCCTGAGCCTATGAGCATCCTGTCCCCAATTTCCTAGTGTCCCTCCAGAAGCAGGGGCTGCAGGGAGAAGGCAGCAGGCAGGACTAGATGCACAGGGCACTGCCTTGCAGGGACCCCAGCTGTAAGACTCCAGGGGATCCCTGTCTCAGCCACAACCCCAGTGCCGATCACAAAGCAGGAGCTGCCAGGCCAGAGGGCCAGGGAAGCCCCACAGTGTGCCTGGCAGCTGCTGCACTCAAGAGGCAGACACCTTATTGATGTGCTCTGTGCCCAGAGCACCTGCCTCAGAGGCACTCTGGGAACACAGGGCTCCATCCCCACCCCTTTCCTTTGGAGCCAAGTTCAGGGTGTGGGTGGGGGATCAGGTGTGGCTGCTTCCCCGGGCCAGTACAGAGTGGCTGCTCCAAAGATCCGTGGGTGTAGACAGGAGCCCTCACTTGGACAGTTGACTGCAACGCTCTAGGGAGCTGCTTCTGAGCCACGCCTCAAGGCCTAGGGTTCTGGTGTCACTAGGACCCTGGGCCTTGCCCTTCCCACGGCTCTGAGTTCCCAGGTACCAAATGTGACTGTGACTCTTGGTGCAGAAGACCTCGGAGGGTCTGCTTGCCAGTGCAGCCTCTTGCTGGCAGAGTCCTGGCCTTCACCTCTGCCCTTAAGGATGTTCCCAGGGGCCCAGGGGCAGACAGTCCTCCCAAGAACAAAGCAGGATGGGGAAAGAGCCACAGGGCCTGGCGGCCTGGCTTGATTTCTAGACTAGAAAATTCTTGGTTCTGGGGCGACAGCGGCCTGTTCCCTTCCATAGGTGGTGTGGGTTGGGGGGCAGCTGAGGGTGTGTCCCACCCAGCATGTCCAGCAATTGCCCTCCTTTCTCCTCAGCCCCAGCTCCCACACCTGCCCATGGTTCCAGCTCCCAGGGCCAACTGCTCCCTAGCAGCCATGACACTTGTGGATGTCTTAGAGGCTTGTCTCGTTCAATCCTCACTCTCACCCTGTGAGGCAGTCTCACTTATTCCCCCATCGTCCGGAGGAAGAAACTGTGGCTCAGGGAGGTGAAGTCACTTGCTCGAAACCACCCAGTAACAGGCACCGGGTTTGAGATCACCATTCAAGTCACCCCACCTGCATTAATCACTCTGCCTCTCAGCCTAGCCTCCCACTGTCACCACACTGAGGCCAGGCGGGTGGGGGCTGGTGGACTGAGGGACGTGCTGCGCTGCTCTTAGCCCATAGGCATTAGCCCAAAGCAGACCTTTAGCCCAAAGGTGTGAAGCTGGCTCCTGTGGTGCTCACCATGGGATCTTGGTGGAAATGACTTTGCTCGTTGTATGACAAGAGGAGCTTAGAGGGCTGTGAGGCTCCAAAGATGCAGACAGGCCCAGGAGGACAATGTCCAGTAGATCCCCGTGCTCCTCCCTGAAACCTCCAAGGCAGGCTTCTCAGGATACTCACAGGGTCTTCTCCAGGCCCAGAGCAAAGACTTCATAAATAACACTGGGCGGCCTCTCCACAGACACAAACTCAACCCGGGATCTCGAGGGTGGACAGATGCCCAAGGCTTCAAAATGACCATTCCTCAGGGGCCTTTACCATTCTGCCTTCACTGGTCAAGAAGTGATTCTCAGCCACCCCACAAAGCCGGAGTGAAAACCCTTGTCTAGCCAGTTGGAATCTTCCAGACAGGGCCACTTTGTCTTATCAGACAATGAAAGCTACGTCACCCCTGGGGGTTCCTCCGGAAGCTCCCCTGCCCCACTTGGCCTGGTTCCAGTCATCACCCAACCCTGGGACAGAGAGGCCCCAGGACTGCGTTTCATGCTTGAGAGAGGGTGAGGCTTGCCTGGGGCCACCCAGCTGCTCAGTGATAGGGTCACGACCCAAACCACATCTGTCTGCTGCAGAAGCAGGGCCCCACTAGACGCAGGAAGACAAGCAGTCAGATGTCCAGCACTCTCAGCTCTGGGGCCTCACTAGTGAGCCCTAGCCGGCCCCCTCTAAGAAGGGGCCTCAGCCTCCTCAAGCCATTTCTCAGAGGGAGAGAGCAGGGACAGGGAGGTTAAGTGCCCTTTGCAGCTCTAGTCTGGGCTACAGGGGGCGGGGGTGACTTGGTTTCTCCCAGTCTTCGCTTCCCGTGCTGAGAGGGGGCCGGACCTCCAGGGCGACATCGAGGTGTGTCTGGGAAGTCCAACCGGTGTCCCCTTTGGTCCGGCCGTCCCCAGGAGCCCGTTCCGCCCGGCGCCGCTCGCTGGCTTTGTCCACAGCACTCTCCCGCCCCAACTAAGGGCTGGCCGAGAACAAGCGGTTGGGGGCGTTTCCGCCGCGGCCTCCCGTTGGGCAGGACCCCGAAGGAAGACGGCAGGGGCCCAGCACTCCGGCAGCCGCTCAAGGCGCCCCGAACTCCCCAGACCGAGCTAAGGGCTGGCCGAGAACAAGCGGTTGGGGGCG